GCAGTGGGAACAAGCAAAGGGATGGGTCAGAGAAAGTGCCCTTCCAACCCTACAGGGAGTGTTGCAGGCATTCCATATTCCCACACACCCGAGAACACTTGCTTGTTAGCAGAGGAACTTTGCCTTTTTGGTTGGCTCCCTAACAAGGGCTAGCAGAGCGGCATCAGTTCATTTTCCAAATTGGGTTGCATACCTCAGAAATGCTCAGACCAGCGTTTCAGCCCTATGAACCCCACAACGTATGACTGGGAAGAAAAGGTATAGATCATCCAGTTCAACGCCTACCAAAATCACTAAATCGGCCAGACCTCATTTGAAAACCTCCAGACAGGGGAAGCCCATCACCCTCTCTCTGCTTAACAGCTGTGACGGTCTAACCGGAACCTCATTTCTTTCACTTTCAGCCTCTTGTTTGCTCTGCAGGAATTGGCCTTCTGGATATGTGCAGGACACTATTATATCTCCATTTAGTTTTCCCCTTGGAAGCTAAACATCTCCCGATCTTCTAATTGTTCTTCATACAACTTGGTTTCCAGACCTTTTATAATTCTCATAGCCTCCCTTGAATCTGTTTCAGCTTTTATGTCCCTTTTAAAGTGCGGTGCCTAGAAGTGGACGAGCACAGACATGGCATAGCGCTTCTCCGCTACTGAAGGCAGCCTAAGATCGCGTTGACCTTTGTAGCCGCTGCATCCCTACAAGCTCAGGCTCAGCGGACGGTCCACTAGGGTTCCTAGACCTTTCCTGGACAGGAGGCCGCCAGCCAGGTCTCCGCAGTCCTCTTCCTGTGCGTGTGGTTCTTTCTACACAGGCGCCAGGCTTGTCACAACTGAACATCTGCTGGATTCAGCCCCGCGACGTCCACCCGACTGCGAATCTTCTGAACCCGGCTTCTTTCTTCTCTGCCTCAGCGCAGCGTCCGCTGCACATTTACAGGATAATCAACGAAGCTACTGAATATCCCTTGGCCGAGGACAGAGCCCGGGGATCTCCGCGGGATACCGGCTTCCCCAGGGCAAAGCAGAGCCATTGAGCAGCGCTTCCTGGGGGTGGCCGGGCGGCCTCTAACCCGCATTTATGCCCGTTGTCCGCCCGCCCCGCCGAGCCCCGGCTGGGATCCAGGGGCGTTCCT